ATAATAATTAACTTAACAACTAATTACTGATAAGTTAGAATAAAATTAGAAAATAAATATAAAATTATATTTATTATAAAATATGAATTATTTAAATTTAATATAATATCATTTATTCTTATTAATATATTAATAATATTTTAATAATTAATAAATATTATATTATATTATTATATTAAAAAATATAAAATAATTTATATAAATAATATTATTATTTATTTATTTTTATTAAAAGAATATTTTTAATATATTTATCATATATTTATAAAAATCAGAAAAATAAATTTAAAAATATAATTAAAAAATTTAATTTTGAAAAATTTAACTATTTTTTTTAAAATATATAATAAAATTTATTTAAATTCTGCTTAGATTGAAAAAATAAAAGAATTCTTAGTATTATATAATTTAATAATTCTATAAAAATTTATTAATTTACTTCTTATTATTATTAATTTATCAAGAATTTTATTAAGATTACTATATCTTTATATAAATTAATATATAAAAATAAATATTATAAATAAATTTTAAATTAGTAAAAAATTTTTAATATTTTAAAATAATATTTAATTTTAATACTTATAATAATATATTTAAATTTTAATAAATCATTTTATTTATATATTAATATCTTTGAATTTGAATTTGCAATTTGTTTTTTCTAATAGATATTCTTGTTTTCTATTAATTCTAATTACTTTTATATTTATTGACTTATCAATTTGTCAGTTAATTTTCTTTAAAAACAGGTTGGATATTATATTACTAATGGATTCATATAATTAATTAATTTTTCTCTTCACATTTAGTAAATATAAATTGATTTTTTTTGTTATACATTGATCACATGATGTTGTTTAATATCCAATTATTTGATGACACTTCTGTATTGGAATTATAATAACATTTAAAATATTACAAAGGATATTATTTTTGTATATTGTGCTACGATTGATTTGGTTAATCAGTAAAATTATTTTTAGATAGACAATTTTAGACAACCTAAAATATGGTCTATTTAAAACTCAAAAAAAATAAAAGACATTGTTGTAAAATATCTAAAATTGATTTTGTCTAAGACAGCCCCCTGCTCACATAGTGTCTATTCTGGTTAGTCTGTGATTTCTTGAATAAGACCGGGGATACTGTAATAAGCGCTATATGGTATTAATTAAAACTATTACGTGATAAACGCATGCCCTTGATTTTATTTTTATTTATTATAAAATAGCATCAACAAAATTTGGTTTTTTATTTTTGAAAACAAAGATTTTAAAATAATGGACGTCTAAATTTTTAATTTAAACCCGAGAAAAAGAAAAAGGTTTTGGGACCAAAATCGATCCTCGGAAACTCCAACAATTAATGATCGATGTATGTTTGACAATCAATTTACGATTTTATTATTTTAAAATTATCTTCGCCTTCCAGTCAATCGTCTTATAGGTCCTTTTTCTTCCTCTTCTTCCTCGTCCCACTCTTCTTCCCATGCTTCCTCATCCTCTTTATCCTCCATTGATCTCACGTCATACCGTTTCCCACGTATACCATAGATCCCCCAATTTGCAAAAATATGTTTTCTTATGTCTTGAAAATCAATGTCACGTTTCAAACTACGAAACACGTTCTCACCTGGTGTTAATAACCAATCTAGTTCGGGTATAGTTTTATCTCTCCCTTTATTATTTTTTAAATCATTACTTTTATCACTAACACCGCTATCTTTAGCTTTGTTAGTATCAGCGTTTTGCTGAGCTTCCCCTTCGGCTTGTAATTCTTCTTCTATTTCATCTTCATCATCTTTTAACATTGTCCACCCACTTTCTTTCAACGCTTTCACGTCACTCATCATATCCTCTTCATCATACCCAGTTATAAAAATAGCACATTTTGTAGCCAACATTTGCTTTAACGTATTTCCCCACAAATCTTTTCCGTTGGGCTGCCCGAATCCAGGACTAAACAAAAAGAAAACATCGGTGTATGGATCAAAGGGAAGCACATTCTCGTGATAATCGTTGTACATTTTTTTGGCCCAGGTGAAACTTAATCGTGGACCATAATGTTTTGTAATAGTTGGAAACTTTTCCTCTTTTTCCCTTTCCCCATCTTCATTTTGTTGTGGTGATGGAGGAGAAGGTTGTTGTGGCGATGATGAAAACGAAGGTGGTGGTAAAGATTCAGGTCCGATAAAGTGTATGTGAAAGGTGTTATCGGGAAAGAGATGACATATTTCGTTATATACGTCGGCAGGTAATTGAGCTTCCGCTCGAGCTCCAACCACCATTATACGAATTATTTGATCTAACTGAAGTGTTTTGATGTCGTGTGTTGTTTTATTCGAGTATAATGTTGATCGGAGAGCTATTATTAATTGGCAATAATAATAATATAATATTTAATAAGATACGATTAATAAATTAAAGCGCATGTTGATGTATGAGCACATATCAAATACCAATTAAAGATTTTAATCCTTCGCTTGTCAACCGATTACGAAGTGAATATGGTCCCGATTCATGTAAAACTGACGCAATGGTAACCGGATATGTTAAAGGTTTAGTGACGTGTCTTAGTGAGCGATCTTCGTCCAAGCTTGGGAAATTACGCGTATAGAAATATGTATCCCATGTGAGCATATTAACTTTTTGATCTAGATCCTGTTCACCTTTATAATAAGGTTAAAGCATCAATTGGAACCTTAAGAGACAAATCGATAAAATCACTAAGCATCGATATAATAATCATCATAATAATCAACCAAAAAGGTACCTGGAAAATCGAATTCCATCATTTTTCGTCCACTTCTCAAATCATGTTCATCTTCATTAGCCTCCCTTAACCAACTACAAATCTTCCGGTGCTCCTCTATGTCTTGTTCGTAATGTTCTTTTGAGCAGTGAGTAGGGTACCCGCAGTTGGGACACTCGTAAATAGGCCGTTGTTGCTGCTGCTGCGGTCGCGAAATACAGGTAGGACACGTGCCATATGTCTTTATAATTTTGGCGCGATTTTGTAGCTCTGGTATTGGGGATAGGGAAAGTGGGTGAAATAGATTGTCCTTTGTAAGTATTGGTTTTGGTGGTGGGGACGTTGTCTGTGTCGGAAAGGAAGAAGCTGAAGTTATAGGAGAAAAAGAAAACTTTGAGTCTTGGTGTTTGAGGGGGGTGAATATTGATTTGAGGGAGACGAATGGTCGCGTGAAAGTTGACTTTGTGGTTTTTATATTGATATTGTTTAAAAATGGGTTACTACTTTTATTAAAGCGTTCTATGAGATATGATAAAAATGGTTTTTGTGGTAATTTGTGGTGAAGCAAAGTACGTCGCGGTCTCGTTGTAGGCTGTAGTAACGATAACGGCGACGTGTTTCTAGCTTTAAACATTATCAGAATAATTTTCTACCAAACGATCTTGAAAATTTTTCAATCAAGGCGTATAGTTCATATTGATAGATTGTTCTAGAACATTTTATTTATTTGTTTCAAGAAATTTTTTAATTAAAACATCATCTTTTGATTCAATTTATTAATAATGTCGTAGTAAAAGCTGTTATTTAAATAAAGTTATGTCATTTTAATCATACATCGCTCTTCAAAATTTCGAGGAACCTATTAATAATCAATGAAAAAATTAAAATTCGAGTACTGATCCAATGAACCAATGACAAAAAAACGACATACTTCTTAGAGGCTTTGGTCGTGAGCTTGAACTTCCGTTTCTTCGTGACTTTGTTTTTAGCACGTTTCTCAGCAGCCAGAATTTCAGCACGACGTAACACCTTCGCGTACGGATTAAGTCGAATGAGCACGCCATTGTTTCGTAATGGATTCTTCTTCTGTGTGTATGGTCGTTTTTGGTGCTTCTCGCCAGCCGCTCGAAGTACAGACTGAATTTGTGAGGAATTAATGATGCGCGTGACATCACTGTTGGAAATGATATGAGATGGCAGACTGTAAAGATAAAATAGATTAATTATCATAGGCTAAATAAAATAAGTTTAAGAAAGTAGCATATATTAAATTGAAATTGAGAGAAATTACCGATAATCTTTCTTGAGTGAAGCAGGTTTCTGATAAGTTCCATATAACTCATCCAACAATGCAAAAGCGCCATGCGACCAAATAATAAACCGACCCAAATGTCCACCTGGCGCCAACAAAAGTAAATTCAAATGCCGAACATTAACCAACTCCACGCCGGGGATATTACGGAACGCTTTCACCACACCATGATCTTCATTGAACACAATAAGGGGACCACGACGTTGACGATGTCGACGATTTCGCATTTTTCCTTTACCGGCACGCAGTTTACGCGAATTTGAGACTTTTACAACGTCTCGGTATGCGTTTACGGCTTTTAAGAGAGTCACAGCATTTTTGGTTTTTGTTAAGGATTCGATGTCGTTGGCAACTACTAATGGGACTTCAGCAATTTCTTCGATTCTGTGACCACGTGCTAGGACTAGTGGCGGGACTGATGATGCTGCTAATGCGGATGCGGTGGCGTAACGTTTTTGATTTAGGTTTGTTTTGACGTGCCATTTACGCCAAATTTTAGTTGGAGCAAACATGCGACCACCTCGGCACATGTTACCAAAAGCACCCTGAATATTTATATTTTATATTTAATATGATCCGTTACCGATTCAAGAAAATCAAAATGACATCATCTATCAATAGATCTTTTTTAATCCTTTGTGATTTAGTACCTGACCAGCACGATGAGTACCACCGCCCGAAACACGAGGAATTCGAGCAACCGCACGACCTGTTCCCCAAGACTCGGCGGAAGTCTGATGTCCTGCTTTCTTTGATACCGCATAAGGCTGACGCTTGTTCTTTGCGACGCTTGTGTGAACCGCGTTCACAATATCAGGACGAATAGGAGCACTGAACACGGCTGGAAGAGGATGTTTTATTTCTGTTTTATTCCCCTCGTGGGAATAAATTGTAATTGGTGGTCTTTGCACCGCGGTGGACTAATTAATTTTCAGATAATGTAAAAATTAACATAGAAATTGTCCATTTGTTTCTGTAAAATGGATGAATGATTTTCGTGTATGGATATAATCATATCAATTATTCTTGAAGTCTCTCATGCTAACCATTCGATACTTTCCCCGAATTAAGTATAAAATGTATAAATAGCAGATTCATTTTACAATACAAATTTGATGGATGGATACAAGATGACGACACAAATTTCTACTATTCTCTTATACTTGCTTTTTTTTTTACTTACCATTTTTTAATAAATATATTAGAGGGAACAAAATGACGAGAGAAGAGAAAAAAAATGTTAAATTTTTCTCTCGTTTTTTTCGTATTGACCAATTAGAATTCAGCGAGTAGAATTTCATATCAGCCAACCAATCATGCATGTGCAGGCTGTTATGATCTGCTTGATGTGAGAATCTAATTTCTGCAGTACAAAAGCACACAGAGCGTAAAACGGTGTATCTTCGTTTCCCAATAAAATAACTAGCAAAGCCTTGATTAATACTTACAATCAATCTATACTCAACATCTTTTGATTAGTAATACTAAAAGAACTAAAGACATCATGGCGGGACAAATAAATGCGATACAGTTGAAAGATTTTAATAATAGTTGTACCCGAAGTATTTCTCAGCCTCAAGAAGAGCTCTTGGCTGTTTGCTTAACCCAACCACTACCACAAACGATCTCGAATTATGATAATAGTATGTCAAATACTTCCACTACTGCTCCAATCTGTGGCGATTGCTATTATTACTCTACCTGTAAGCAATGAAACCACATCTTTTTTTTGTGACAATCTGAATATAGAAAATATTTGGTATTTTGAAATTGGAAATTGATTTTTTTTATTCTATTTCTTGTAGTGGGCAAGAAGACAGGGTGGCGTTCCTGTAAGTATTTATTTATTAATGGCATCACATGTGTAATTTTTTTGCACTTATTTGTATTAAACAGAAATGTTAAATGTTATATAATAAATTTAGGACATGACTCCCGAGCTCTTGATGAACACAACCCAAGGCCTCCTGGCCCATAAAAGTGGCAGTTTTATGGGATCTTCAGGAGGTCTTAATCTCAATAGTAGTAATAGTAGTACAAAGGGTGGTAATGGAATAAATAATAATAATAATAATAATAATAATAATAATAATAACAACAACAAAAGCTCCGTAAAATTCATCAAAGAATTGTTCCGATCTAATACTCCTGCCCCAATTGACATGATCTTGACCATTGTGTCGACTCAGCCCAAATCCGAGTATGCATGGAAAGGGTTCGTGATGAACGAAACTTTGTTCCTAAAGGGTAGTGGACTTGGCGATGTGGATCTTCGAGAAAGGTACGTGAAATTTAATTTTAAATTTAATTTTTTTTTGATGCTTTTTCGCTGTTTGGTTTTGTTGGTGCTTGCTTGCACATTTTTTATTGCAAAAAATACGTGGGCCATCATATTTCCTTTTCTTTTTTTGCAAATATCATTCATCATCATTATTATCATGATATTAACAGCCTCAAGCTTGAACATTGTTTCTATTCTCTCGCTTAAAAACAATGTGCTCGGGTAAATGTGAAACTTGGGAATTGATATTATTCATTTTTCCCTTTTCACGGGTTGTTTTAATGCGAATAACAATGATACAATAATGAAAAATGATAAAAATAACAGTGATAAATCAATTCGCCCACAGTATGACTTACTGGCTGTATTTGTTTATATGATTGTGATGAGTTGGTTGGCTATGAAAGTTGAGGAGTGTGAGGCTCACATATTTATCTAATACTTTTTTTTCCTTCTGTGTGTGGATATTTTTTTATTCTCGAATTTTTTTTTATTTTGTATTACTTTAAATTGCGCGTGATTATCTCTCTGTGTCTTGCTTGTCTTTATCCTCCCGTCCTCCTACCAATCAAATAAACATACAAAACAGCATTGTCGCCGTATTGGAACTCGCGGAAGAATGTTTAAAGTGTTGTTCGTTGGTTGTTTGTCTTGATAAGAAGGATCCGCAACTGAGTAAGTCGAATTTCTGTTACATTGTTTATTCTATTATTTAACTGATTATTTCACATGATGTGCAATGAGTCTAACGATGTTTATATCAATTGTGTGTGTGATTGAATAGCAACCCTCATTCGCACTTTTATGTATGTCGGATTTGAATCATGCGATCCTCGAGTTTTTAATCACGATACCGAAAAATTCATGCTTGTCGGAATGGAGTTGTAAATCAAATCAAATTTAAAAAAAAAGAATAATAGACCTTTCATATCTTTTTTGGCCTTAATGATTAATTATCATTATTCTTTTTTGGCTGGCTTGGATTTTGTTGTTCGTTACATCCATATATTCGTATATCTATATCTTTTTATATATTTATATACGTTTATTTATCTCATAAACATTTTACTACACGCACATATATTTCGTATATAGCATTCATCATCATCAGTATTAATTTTTTTTGAGGGGGGTGAATATTGATTTGAGGGAGACGAATGGTCGCGTGAAAGTTGACTTTGTGGTTTTTATATTGATATTGTTTAAAAATGGGTTACTACTTTTATTAAAGCGTTCTATGAGATATGATAAAAATGGTTTTTGTGGTAATTTGTGGTGAAGCAAAGTACGTCGCGGTCTCGTTGTAGGCTGTAGTAACGATAACGGCGACGTGTTTCTAGCTTTAAACATTATCAGAATAATTTTCTACCAAACGATCTTGAAAATTTTTCAATCAAGGCGTATAGTTCATATTGATAGATTGTTCTAGAACATTTTATTTATTTGTTTCAAGAAATTTTTTAATTAAAACATCATCTTTTGATTCAATTTATTAATAATGTCGTAGTAAAAGCTGTTATTTAAATAAAGTTATGTCATTTTAATCATACATCGCTCTTCAAAATTTCGAGGAACCTATTAATAATCAATGAAAAAATTAAAATTCGAGTACTGATCCAATGAACCAATGACAAAAAAACGACATACTTCTTAGAGGCTTTGGTCGTGAGCTTGAACTTCCGTTTCTTCGTGACTTTGTTTTTAGCACGTTTCTCAGCAGCCAGAATTTCAGCACGACGTAACACCTTCGCGTACGGATTAAGTCGAATGAGCACGCCATTGTTTCGTAATGGATTCTTCTTCTGTGTGTATGGTCGTTTTTGGTGCTTCTCGCCAGCCGCTCGAAGTACAGACTGAATTTGTGAGGAATTAATGATGCGCGTGACATCACTGTTGGAAATGATATGAGATGGCAGACTGTAAAGATAAAATAGATTAATTATCATAGGCTAAATAAAATAAGTTTAAGAAAGTAGCATATATTAAATTGAAATTGAGAGAAATTACCGATAATCTTTCTTGAGTGAAGCAGGTTTCTGATAAGTTCCATATAACTCATCCAACAATGCAAAAGCGCCATGCGACCAAATAATAAACCGACCCAAATGTCCACCTGGCGCCAACAAAAGTAAATTCAAATGCCGAACATTAACCAACTCCACGCCGGGGATATTACGGAACGCTTTCACCACACCATGATCTTCATTGAACACAATAAGGGGACCACGACGTTGACGATGTCGACGATTTCGCATTTTTCCTTTACCGGCACGCAGTTTACGCGAATTTGAGACTTTTACAACGTCTCGGTATGCGTTTACGGCTTTTAAGAGAGTCACAGCATTTTTGGTTTTTGTTAAGGATTCGATGTCGTTGGCAACTACTAATGGGACTTCAGCAATTTCTTCGATTCTGTGACCACGTGCTAGGACTAGTGGCGGGACTGATGATGCTGCTAATGCGGATGCGGTGGCGTAACGTTTTTGATTTAGGTTTGTTTTGACGTGCCATTTACGCCAAATTTTAGTTGGAGCAAACATGCGACCACCTCGGCACATGTTACCAAAAGCACCCTGAATATTTATATTTTATATTTAATATGATCCGTTACCGATTCAAGAAAATCAAAATGACATCATCTATCAATAGATCTTTTTTAATCCTTTGTGATTTAGTACCTGACCAGCACGATGAGTACCACCGCCCGAAACACGAGGAATTCGAGCAACCGCACGACCTGTTCCCCAAGACTCGGCGGAAGTCTGATGTCCTGCTTTCTTTGATACCGCATAAGGCTGACGCTTGTTCTTTGCGACGCTTGTGTGAACCGCGTTCACAATATCAGGACGAATAGGAGCACTGAACACGGCTGGAAGAGGATGTTTTATTTCTGTTTTATTCCCCTCGTGGGAATAAATTGTAATTGGTGGTCTTTGCACCGCGGTGGACTAATTAATTTTCAGATAATGTAAAAATTAACATAGAAATTGTCCATTTGTTTCTGTAAAATGGATGAATGATTTTCGTGTATGGATATAATCATATCAATTATTCTTGAAGTCTCTCATGCTAACCATTCGATACTTTCCCCGAATTAAGTATAAAATGTATAAATAGCAGATTCATTTTACAATACAAATTTGATGGATGGATACAAGATGACGACACAAATTTCTACTATTCTCTTATACTTGCTTTTTTTTTTACTTACCATTTTTTAATAAATATATTAGAGGGAACAAAATGACGAGAGAAGAGAAAAAAAATGTTAAATTTTTCTCTCGTTTTTTTCGTATTGACCAATTAGAATTCAGCGAGTAGAATTTCATATCAGCCAACCAATCATGCATGTGCAGGCTGTTATGATCTGCTTGATGTGAGAATCTAATTTCTGCAGTACAAAAGCACACAGAGCGTAAAACGGTGTATCTTCGTTTCCCAATAAAATAACTAGCAAAGCCTTGATTAATACTTACAATCAATCTATACTCAACATCTTTTGATTAGTAATACTAAAAGAACTAAAGACATCATGGCGGGACAAATAAATGCGATACAGTTGAAAGATTTTAATAATAGTTGTACCCGAAGTATTTCTCAGCCTCAAGAAGAGCTCTTGGCTGTTTGCTTAACCCAACCACTACCACAAACGATCTCGAATTATGATAATAGTATGTCAAATACTTCCACTACTGCTCCAATCTGTGGCGATTGCTATTATTACTCTACCTGTAAGCAATGAAACCACATCTTTTTTTTGTGACAATCTGAATATAGAAAATATTTGGTATTTTGAAATTGGAAATTGATTTTTTTTATTCTATTTCTTGTAGTGGGCAAGAAGACAGGGTGGCGTTCCTGTAAGTATTTATTTATTAATGGCATCACATGTGTAATTTTTTTGCACTTATTTGTATTAAACAGAAATGTTAAATGTTATATAATAAATTTAGGACATGACTCCCGAGCTCTTGATGAACACAACCCAAGGCCTCCTGGCCCATAAAAGTGGCAGTTTTATGGGATCTTCAGGAGGTCTTAATCTCAATAGTAGTAATAGTAGTACAAAGGGTGGTAATGGAATAAATAATAATAATAATAATAATAATAATAATAATAATAACAACAACAAAAGCTCCGTAAAATTCATCAAAGAATTGTTCCGATCTAATACTCCTGCCCCAATTGACATGATCTTGACCATTGTGTCGACTCAGCCCAAATCCGAGTATGCATGGAAAGGGTTCGTGATGAACGAAACTTTGTTCCTAAAGGGTAGTGGACTTGGCGATGTGGATCTTCGAGAAAGGTACGTGAAATTTAATTTTAAATTTAATTTTTTTTTGATGCTTTTTCGCTGTTTGGTTTTGTTGGTGCTTGCTTGCACATTTTTTATTGCAAAAAATACGTGGGCCATCATATTTCCTTTTCTTTTTTTGCAAATATCATTCATCATCATTATTATCATGATATTAACAGCCTCAAGCTTGAACATTGTTTCTATTCTCTCGCTTAAAAACAATGTGCTCGGGTAAATGTGAAACTTGGGAATTGATATTATTCATTTTTCCCTTTTCACGGGTTGTTTTAATGCGAATAACAATGATACAATAATGAAAAATGATAAAAATAACAGTGATAAATCAATTCGCCCACAGTATGACTTACTGGCTGTATTTGTTTATATGATTGTGATGAGTTGGTTGGCTATGAAAGTTGAGGAGTGTGAGGCTCACATATTTATCTAATACTTTTTTTTCCTTCTGTGTGTGGATATTTTTTTATTCTCGAATTTTTTTTTATTTTGTATTACTTTAAATTGCGCGTGATTATCTCTCTGTGTCTTGCTTGTCTTTATCCTCCCGTCCTCCTACCAATCAAATAAACATACAAAACAGCATTGTCGCCGTATTGGAACTCGCGGAAGAATGTTTAAAGTGTTGTTCGTTGGTTGTTTGTCTTGATAAGAAGGATCCGCAACTGAGTAAGTCGAATTTCTGTTACATTGTTTATTCTATTATTTAACTGATTATTTCACATGATGTGCAATGAGTCTAACGATGTTTATATCAATTGTGTGTGTGATTGAATAGCAACCCTCATTCGCACTTTTATGTATGTCGGATTTGAATCATGCGATCCTCGAGTTTTTAATCACGATACCGAAAAATTCATGCTTGTCGGAATGGAGTTGTAAATCAAATCAAATTTAAAAAAAAAGAATAATAGACCTTTCATATCTTTTTTGGCCTTAATGATTAATTATCATTATTCTTTTTTGGCTGGCTTGGATTTTGTTGTTCGTTACATCCATATATTCGTATATCTATATCTTTTTATATATTTATATACGTTTATTTATCTCATAAACATTTTACTACACGCACATATATTTCGTATATAGCATTCATCATCATCAGTATTAATTTTTTTTGGGGGGGGGGGTGTATTACTACTACTACTACTACTACTATTGCAAGAAATGGGTATTGTGTTTTTTTCTTAATTTTTTTCTCTTTTTCATTATTTCATTAAAATTTTGCTTTGTAAAATCCATACGTATTAAATAAAATACGGACATTTTCTTAAGTACATGATAAGATATATCGATATATTGCGATAGATCTTAAACTTTTTTGTCAATATGATAAGGCAAACTTGAACTAACCAAATTTGAATTGATAATGATCAATCAAAAAAATCATCTCTAGCGCATTTGGTAATATGTAAGCACATCAATATTTTGATGTGGAGATCCTGAGTATGCACCAATAGAAAGGGTCGCAGTTTAAAGTATCCCAGATGGATTTTATTTTTTGTAATATGCAATTGTACAAGCTTATCTCAAATTATTCATATCGATGCAGAGTTGAAAAGAATTATTTGTTATTATATCTAATTTTTCAAAATGTAAGATCACAATCACAAAGTGCACTTATTTTGTTTGATTTGCAGGACATATAATAATGCAGATAGTTATATATTTAATTGAAACTTTTTATTTATTAAAATCAATATCAGCTCTTATATTTGCATAAATTTGAGTTTATCTTTAATAAATTGAGCTTTTAATTATATCAATTTCTTATTATAGTAATCACTTCCTATAAATAATAGTATAAACATGTTTTAATATTATTTTAAAAGTTATTTCTAAAATAATTTGATAATTAGTAATATTTTCTATCTTTTAATATTTATTATAAATTATTATCATCTTTTTCTTAATTCTTCTTTAAAAGCTAGAAATTTATCAATCCACTACATATCTTCGATTTCTTTCTGTTGGATCGACGCAAATGTAATCACCCGGCTTTTTTGCAGAATACAAAAAGAAATACATAATGAGCATTGAAATTTTTTAATTCATAATAAAATTGTTTCAAGTGTTGATAAATAACCTTTTCAGGGGTGGCTTTAAAGCCTTTACTCGAATGTGACCAAATCTGTTTTTGTATGTTAAACGATTTTCGTATATGTTCATTGCCAAATTTTTATAATTATAAAAAAGAAATACAAACTTGCAGAACCTAAAGCGTGACGTTTGTGCAAAGACGCGACAAGATCTGGCAGAAAATCACGTATCACGTGTAATTCGTTATTTTTTTGCGGATCTATAACGATAAGTGTGGAGTCTGAATTTATCAAACGCAGTTAATAATTATATTTGCGTAAGGATAATAAAATTTATTTCAACCTTCTTTCTTATTATTTTTAACGAGATGTGTGCACAGCAACGCACTTGGAATAAAGTATAGTTATTAAATTGATTACATTTTAGAAAAGTTGTTTCTATACTGTAAAGGTAGCATATTGTGGACGCGCTGTTTATCGTGTCTGCTTGGGATTTTTTAGCAGGATTTGGCCATGATTCCAATAACTGTTTCAACACATCGATGATAGTAGTTTGTTGTTGCTTACTTGTTGGACTGATATTCGAGAGGAAGTGATAAATTTCGGCGGATAACCCGAAAAGTCCAAGAGCCAACTGGAATTTTTGCTTATGTTTTGATTCTCAACGGTTTCTTTGAACTTTTGTTTCTCTTTAATCGGTTCATCTGGATCCCTATTTATTGAGCCGACGTTACTCATACCAGAATAAATATTGTCCTCTCCACCATCAAGATGGTATCATTCGAACTATAGACCGCAATTTACGGTAGATATCGGTATAAAACGGGAATTTTGAATAAAACGGAATTATCCCCCATTTCATTTGAACAAATGCCTCCTAAGCAAAAACGAATAACTGCATATAGTCGTGCACAAGAGATTTTCAATTAAATGGGAACGTATAACAATCATTATTTCGAATATTAATACAGCAAATCATAAGAGAATCATAACCTTGACACCTAATAATGGATTTTGTTTTAGGCAATACAGTATGAATAAAACAGTATTTTTCCGTTGTTTACCCAGCAAATGATTCATTCTGGACGCCGTGAATGGGATAAGGACGGGAGAATTGCATTATAAAAGAAGACTGTAGCGGAATTGAATAGAAATAGATTAGCTAGATAGAATTTAACTACACTTAAAAATAATTATTAGCAAAACCTTTAATTCAAATAATAAAGTGATTTTTTTATGTTAATTATCGGATTTATTTTTAGGTGCAGATTGGCATTTTATCATGTTTACTTCCGAAGGTATTTTTTGTACTAGCAAAATGAATATCAAATAAATCTTACGAAAAAGGCACTTGGGAATCAGGAAAATTTAAAGGAAGATATAAAGCAGGTAATTAGTATAGTTGTAGGATTATTGAAGGATAGGGTTTCAGCATGTGACGAGCCTGAATCTAAGAGGCAACGTGTACAAGAAAGAATTATCAAAAAATTAGCTAAAAAATAGTGGGTAGATTATCCCCCGCTTCACATGTATTTTTTATTGTATTAGCGTGAGCTAGCCTACGGCTAATAAAGCAATTTTATTTTTCAAATACCGCGTACATTAAAAAAAGGTAAGATTTCAAAATCAAATGTTTTGTTTTAAGGAGAGCGATTGATATTTAACTCCGCTTTGTTTTCTGATGTGATTTGCCGTCTTTTTCCTTTCGTGTTGTTCGAAAATAGATTTTTTACAGCTCTTTCGGTATCAAGTAGCTTTCTCTGCATTAGACAAATACGTTAATTTTTGATAATTTTTTTATTTATAGTAATTTATCTATCAACTTACTTGGAGCAATTTTATAATGCAATATGCATCTTCTAATATGTCGCAATCATCAATATCGGCAGGTATCCTACATCGATCTATCAACCCGAATCTATATATACCAGATCCCATCCAATCCATAGCGTAGAAATTCAATTCTAAACCTAAAAATGGATTCCATTAGCAAGCGTATTATTAAAATTTCTTCTCATATTAAACCTACCAAATTGAAGCCAGCCGAAAATTATAATATCTAATCTTTTTTCGTTCAATACATAATCACATTCTTTTAATAGACGATTTATACTATCCCGCATTGTTACCATTAATTTCACTTTATCTAAGAACCGTTTCTTGCGACAAGCTTTGGGAATTCCAAATTGTCCTAGCCCACCTGAAACCTCCCCAAAAAGTGCCTCAAATTTATTTGGTGTTTTTAGCAATGTTACTTTCATATCAACCTTTCTACCCATTCGTGCTTTTTTAAATGGATCCGATTTTTCATTACGGGCATCACTGCTTGAAAGAGCATGAATTTCCCCCCTATATTCAGAAAAACTGTCAACATCAAATATTCAATACCTTGATGAAAAGAAAATGACTTACCAGGAGTGTTTAATACGATCGGACGTGAATGTTCCATGAAACAACGGATATGATGATGTCATTTTCAAGTGTTCTTCCGTCATCATTTCTTGGAAAAAATGCATATTATTTTTCCTACAATGTAATACAAAGTCAGAACGCGAAACCAAATAATCAAGCACATAATTCACAATGAATACATACAAAAATTGTACATTTGAATCAAAATGTTTTAGATCTTTATTCTCATCGCTATTGCCAAGTTTTTTGCAACTGCTATCGAAGTAATCCTGAAAATCTTTTGAGGCCAATTCGCATTTCCATTTGATATGATCAGCGAAGTCTTGGGATAATTGCTGTAAATCGTTTTCTGTAATTTCTTTGCATCCGTATAGACTTTCTCTGGTCAGATCGAGCCCCCCCCCCCCCCCCCAATACGCAGGGCTGTGAAATAGTAAGATTGGTTAATAATCAGACATGATCTTAGAAAGGATGCCATACGTACGTGTACACTCTGCGGATTTTAGGAATCTTATTTTGATATGTTTGGAATGCGTTCAACATTTCATCAAATATAAATTTCGATGAATCCTATTGTGGGTAGATAATGCGCTTACTAAATATACTGTATGCTCACAAACAAAAACATAAAGATCTTACTTTGTTATCACTCGCTAGTGGCAATTTTCTTTCCTCCTCGAGGGTATTTTCATCAATTTTTTCTATAATTTTATCTTCGTTCAAATCATTAAATAGAAATACCAATCTATCGTAACCTGGTAATTCGTCATCTCCTAGTTTCCTTTTAAGATTATTTTTGCATGCTTGATTTTCTTCCGTAAATTCGTCATCGCTGTACACTTGATTAAAGTCCTTCCAAAGAAACATGAAAAGCATGATGATTAAATTGATTATTCGACTATTGATCATACTAGCACTTAAAGTTGACTATACCAGTATTGCATCAAAGTTTTGTGAAATTTGAACATTTAATTCGTCTTCCTCAACCTCTTCATCTTTTTTTATCCTTTCTCCTGTTATACCGGTCAAGATTTCATCCGCTTGTTTCATGTAACCTTGTGCCATTTCGCTTTTTGTCACTGACCCGCTTGAAAGGGTTGCAAGGAAGTGAGCACGGAAATTCTGCTCATAAGCGTCCAACAAGTTCTCAAATTCCTTGGTCTCATTGAATCCAATTAGCTCTTCTGCAAATTTCACAATTGAATTTGGGATATTTTTTTGCTTTTGAATGAATTTCAGGCTGGCGGTCCACTTGTCAAGAATTTCGTTGAATGTTTTTGGCGCATCTCCAGAATGAATGATAGAAGAATAAAAACGTTTAAACGACCATAGTCGGGCGTCCGTGTTTGCGAAAAAAGGATATTTCTTACGTTTAAAGCGATACGTTCTGAAGTTGCAATCAACTATCGGATCTGGCATGTTTAGAAAAAATTATCTTGGATCAAATATTATTTATTAATACGCGCGCGTCAAACGTGTTTTAAGCGTATCACAAATTTAACAAATTACGTAATTTGTAGCACGTTAAATTTTTTGCACCATTGCACCTCTAATCTGTCGACCGTAGTTGCCACGCAACATCTCCTGGATCTGTGGATCTATGTATCTGTTAAAGGATCCAGAGTGGTAATTTACGGTGGGTTTTGACAGCTTGGCAGAGGGGAACGTTTGCCCACACCTGCTTACCGCAGTTGCCACGTAACATCTCCTGGATCTGTTGGATTTATGATCTGTTAAAGGATTCAGAGTGGTAATTTACGGTGGGTTTTGACAGCTTGGCAGAGGGGAACGTTTGCCCACACCTGCTTACCGCAGTTGCC